GTGCGCCCCCCCCCTCTTTCTTCTGAGTCCGGGTCTCATTCTGGCATGATCACAACTCACCACAGCCTCAAACTCCTGGGCTCAGCCTCCTGAGTATCTGGGACTACAGATGCCAACTAATTTTGCTTTTTTGTTTTCTGTTTTTTGGTTTTTTGTAAGAGATGAAGTCTCTCACTGTGTTGCTCGGGCACGTCTTGAACACCTGGACTCAAGCAGTCCTCCTACCTTGGCCTCCCAAAGTGTTGGAATTACAGGCATGAGCCACCACACATGGCCAGCCTTATTGCTTCCTAACTCTTATCATCTTTGGAACTCAAATGAATATTTTCTTACTGAGAAGCCTTCCTTGTCTCTGCTTTCTCGCCCCATGATGGTTAGAATCCCCTCATGCTCCCTCTGAGCCTGTGTGGGTCTCGCTCATGGCTCACTCCCTCACCTCCTTCGGGTTATCTCTTCCCTCATTTATCTTCTCCAACGCCGCTACCACTATCCTACGGATGGCATATTTTACTTGGAAATGTTGTTAACTGTCTCATCACTACCACTGCTCCCCCCAGGCAGAATCGCCAATGTGGGGATCTGGGTCTTTTTTTTTTTTTTTTAATCACAGTTGTTTCTAAAGGCCTCACCCACACTTAGAACAAAATTTGTCGTCTCTAAGATCCTGATGATCTGGCTTCTGCCTCTCTCCTCTTCCTTTGCTTCCCTTGGTGTCTAGAACAGTGCCTGGCACACAACAGGAACCTAATAACTACTCATTGATGGAATGAATAGTCCTCGTGGCTTGTAATTTTATTTGCTGGTGTCATGGTTTGTTTAAGAGCTGCCAACCCCACTTGACTATAAGCCCCAGGAGGTGGGAACCACAAACGTCTTGTTTACACTGACATCGTTGAGAACCTGCTGCATCCTAAGGCCTGAGTGAAGGTTGGTGGGGTGAAAAGTAAATGGGAGAGTGAGCAAGCCATGGCACCTGGGGACGGGGCCAGACAGCACCTGCATAGCAGCCCTCTGCCCTTCCTTAGTGCTCCTGGCACCAGGCCCCTCCTACCTTGTCCTGTTCTTCATAATCCTTGGTGAAGCAGCTCTTCAGCCTCAGAGAGAGCTCCTGCAGTTTGACCATGATGTTGGCACTGGGGGTATTGTCTCTGAAGCGCATGGTGTCCTCCATGATGTCTTGTACCAGGAGAAATGCCTTCTTCAGGTAGCACACCGGATCTTTCTGGAAAACGGAAACCTGGCGCTTATGGCCTAGCTGCGGTGGCCTGCAAAACCAGGCTCTGTGCTGGCTGCAGCCTCTGCCCCCGCCCCTGAGGGAGGGAACACACCACTCCAGTGATGAGGACACTGCTACCCTCCCCTTGTCTGTCTTTCTCTCTCTCTAACCCCGCTTTGGGATCTTGCACTAGTGGAGACTGGGCTACAGTGAAGGAACGTGGATTCTGATTCGAGAGATCGCAGGGTTTCTGGAAACTGAGGCTTCTATCAGGAGGTGCCTGGGAATGTGGGTGCCAGGGACCTCCCCCGCCTTTCTTTCTCTCTTCCTCTTGGCTTGCTTTATCATACGACCCCTTCAAAACCTCCAGGGAACAGGCACTGAGACTACCTCGCGGTCCAAAAGATTATCTCCTCAGGGCTTTATGTCCCTGAAGAGATAATGGTTGCCTCAAAGATGGAGACTCTGTTCCAGCTCTGTCTCCCTAGTACTTGGCCCAGTAGGGTCTGAGTAAATGATTAAGGCAAGAGTTCTGGAGGGAGCAAATGAGTGAGTGAATGAAATACTGAGGTTGGCTGGGCGTGGTGACTCAAGCCTGAAATCCCAGCACTTTAGGAGGCTGGGGTGAGAGAATTGCCTGAGCACACGGGTCGAGACCAGCATGGCAACTTGGCGAGACCTCATCTCTACAATAAAATCAAAAAATTAGCTGGACGAGGTAGCACGCGCCTGTAGTTCCAGCTACTTGGAAGGCTGAGGTGAAAGGGTAGTCTGAGCCCAGTGGGTTGATGCTGGGGTGGCTGTGAGCATGCCACTGAACTCCAATCTAGGTGATGGAGTGAGACTCCAACTCAAAAAAATAAAAAAAGAAATGCTGAGGTTATTCTTTGGACCATGAGGAAGTCCCTAGTTCATTCTTCTCTCTCTCTTTCTTTTTTCGAGTTGGATTCTCACTCTGTCGCCTAGGCTGGAGTGCAATGGCATGCTTACGGCTACTGCCACCTCCATCCACTGGGCTCAGGAGATCCTTCTGCCTCAGCCTTCCAAGTAGCTGGAACCACAGGTGAGTGCCACCACACCTGACTAACTTATTTTATTTTATTTTTTTATTGCAGAGACAAGGTCTTGCTAAGTTGCCTGGTCTGGTCTCGAACTCCCGAGCTCAGGCAATCCTCTTGTCTCCACCTTCCAAAGTGCAGGGAATACAGGTGTGAGCCCCCATGCCCAGCCCCTTCCTTCCTTCCTCTCTCCCTCCCTCCTTCACCTTTTCTTTCTTCCCTCCTTCTCTTTCCTTCTTTCTTTCATTCTCTCTCTCTCTCTCTCTCTCTCTCTCCTTCATTCTGACAGTTTCTCACTCTGTTGCCCAGAGGACAATTGCATGATTACAGCTCACTGCAGCCTCAAACTCCTAGACTCAAGTGATCCTCCTGCCTTAGCCTCCCAAGTAGCTGGGACTACAAGCACACACCACCATGTCTGGCTAACTTTTCTACTTTTTGTAAAGATGGGGTCTTGTTTTTTTGCCCAGGTTGGTCTCTACTCCTAGCCTCAAGAGATCCTCCCGTCTCAGCCTCCCAAAGTGCTGGGATTACGGGCATGAGCCACTGCACTCAGCTGGTCTCTAGTTCTAACAGAGGTGTATGAGTCTGGAATGCAGAAACTCAGAGATGGAAAAACTTCTGGGTATCATGGGGATTTCGCATGAGGCACAAAGATGAGTAGCTGTGGATAAGTTGAAAGGTGTGACGGGTGTGACTTGTGCAAAGGCTTGGAGGCAGGAAGGAGCAGGGGATGGGGGACAGTAGAAGGGGTTGTGTGGTGGAGAATGGAGCTTCTAAACACCAGGCTAGACAACCTGGACTTTCTCCTAGAGCCATGGGGCCCTGATGGGTTTTGGGAATGTGATGGCAGCCAGTGCAGGTTTCAGAAAACTCCCCCTGGTGGTGAAAACAGGGGTTCACTGGAAGCTGAAGGCCACTTACTAGGCTCCTGAAATTGCGGGAGAAACTGGGGAGTCGGTGTGGGGATGAAGCGGGTAGAACCCAGAGCTGCTTGGAGACAGCACCAGTAGCACGTGACAGCCAGTTGGGTGTGGGCAGGCAGAAGGGCTGGAATGCCTCCCTGGATGCTGGCGTGTCCGGTGAATGGACATGTCGTCCTAAAGCAAAGCGCGTGACTTGGAGGAAGTCTTGGTTTGCCTCAGGCCCGACAGCCAGCCTGCCTGGGTTTAAATCAGGCCTCTGCCACTCACAAGGTGAGCTCCCTTAACCTCTCTGTGGATAATGAACAATATTCGTGTACTACATAGTGCTACTGTCAGGACTAAATGAGAAGATGTCGGGCATGTAGTAAGCAGTTGATATGCACCAGGTCAGGAGAAGAGAGTAGCAGGGGCTTGAGTCCTGACCCTGCCCAGCCCTAGACCCTGACACCCCAGACTTGCATGCACAGGGACCCTCGCACCTTCACCCTGTCCCATTCCAGGAGTTCTGTTGCTTTTATGCTCCCACGTGCAGCCCGCCCTGGAAGGTAGGTGCAGGCCTTGTAAACAACCATCACTCACCAACTGCTCCTGGTCTACAAACTCAAAGGCAATTTGGCACGAGGTTTCCATCTGACCATCAATCTGTAAAAAGAGCAGGCCGGTGGTTGCAGGGTAGCTAAAGTTCGACTGAGCTTGCATCAGAGCGGGAACCTTCATTTCTGGGTGAAACAGGGTTTGAACCTCATCTGCCTCCTCCCAGCCACATCTAGAAAGACAGAGCCAAGTCTAGGAGAAGACCCTGCCTTCTACATGCCCAGGAGAGGGCTTTGGAATAACAAGGCACCTTTTCCTTCCACCTACCACCCCATGAAATCTGACACAGGCCAGTTTGTTATAAGGAGGACTATCTATAGAAGAACATAGATAGGATACAGTCTCTCCGGGGAGGTAGTGAACACCCTGTCATGGCAGGAATACAAGCTCTGGGAATTTGGGATTTGTAGGATCTGGGGCTAGATGCCCTTAAAGCCCCCAATATCTGCAGAGTGGTAGTTCTGCGTTTTAAGCCTCAGAGAATGTTCTTGGTCTACCTTGGATTACTACAGCAGACATGTGTAGAGGAAAGAGAGGCAGAAAGCCCAGCCTACAGGCCCCAAGCATAGCACCCTGGAGCTGCCCTTAGCCGGTGATGCCCATCCTGCTTAGCTGGCCAGAAGGATGGTAAATTCCCTCTGAGCAGGACAGCAGCCATGACAGCAACCTGATTCTGCCTGGCTGGTCCAAGTTTGGAATGGTTGACAGTTCTGTGGGCCTAATGAGAATGAGACATAATGGCCCAGATAAGTCAGCCATCATGGCCTCAGGGTATGGGCAAGAGCCAGGGAGTGAGGGTGGAAAACTAGAAGTTAAGCAAGGCCTCCCCTCCAAATCTGGGTGGGGCTCTGGTGCCAGGCTGGTGGTACACATCTGGAAATCCAGGAGCTGGAGGCAACATCTGGACATAGCAGGCAGGCCAGGCTGGCTTCCTGGAGGAGGCATCCCACTGAGGGACAGCAGACCTCAGAAGCCCTTTCAAAGTCCATAGTTGACATTCCTGAATGATCATTGACCCAGGCATGCAGCCGAAAGCCCACTTTGTTCACTGCCTGCAGGAGACTTAAAGAGGGCTTCAGGACTGGGGACCAAAGTCCTAACCTTGGAAGGACACTGAGGATAGCTAGGGGGAGACATGGGTCATGTCCTGCACAGCCCTATTTTCCTGCCTGCAACCCCTCTCTTTGACCCTGCTCCCTGGCTCCTGCCTCAGTTTCCCCAGTGGGGAGATGGCAGAGCCACACACTCACCAGCTGCTGCAGATACTGCAGGTGTCCACTTCCAATCATGTGTCTACAGTGCTCCGACACGTCCTCCGTAATACTTCTGCTCACCAGGAGACAGACCAGCAGCAGCAGGGCGCCCAGCCATGTCTGTGACAGAGAGGTTTCATTTCTCCCCAGCCCTCACTCTCCCTGGTTATCCCTATGCCTTGCTGAGAGCAGAAAAACAAAGCCCTCATACCGTCTGTGCTCCATGTTCGGCCTCTCACCCCAGGATGCAGCATTCCCCAAATTCAGCTCTCCCAGGACCTTCCAACAGTCACAGCCCAAACTGGCTCTCACTGACGAGAACCCAAATGTCATCTTCTCCAAAAATCCTTCCCAGATTAACCTAAGCCAAACCTAACTACATATTGAGCTAGTAACAACACAGGCGGTGTGCCTTCCAGTCCACATTCTAATTACACCCATTACGTGTCAACCTATTATTCTGTCCCTGCAACATCAACACTGAGCCAAGCACCTTTTGAACTGTTCATGTTCATGCACCGGCTTTTAGACTGCAAGCCAGAGGCAGCACTCTTGTGTCTAGCCCTTCCTCCTACCTTGTCCCACGTGGGTCTGGCTCTGTCACTGGAAAAAACGGCTGGACCAAACTCAGTTTCACTGGGAACCACTGGAAAAATGGCTGGACCAAACTCAGTTTCACTGGGAACTCATTCCATGCCAGGGACCTTGTGGATCCCTGGGTGTGTGTTCCAAAAGGAGTTCAACTGATAAATCAGAGGCACCAGTGTTCCAAAAGGAGTTCAACTGATAAATCAGAGGCACCAGTGTTCCAAAAGGAGTTCAACTGATAAATCAGAGGCACCAGGTAGGTACCAGCCCTGGCTGGTACCTGCCTATCAGAGCCACATCAGACTCTGCTTCCAGCAAGCCAGCTCTTACTATACGTGGGGGGCTGGAGGGTCCTGAGCTTTCTCCCCTCTTTCAGCACTCACCGAGCCTGGTAGCTGCTCAGCCCGAGTGATGAGACTGGCTTCCGATACTCTGTCTTTCCCCTTCCTCCCTCCCTCTCTCTTCCTCACTGAAGTCTCCTTGTTCCTCCTCCGAACCTAAGTCTCCCCATCCAGTCAGAGGCAGAGGGACCCTTGGGCTTTTGTTTTACAGTTCAAGGCTGCCTCCTAAGAGCTCCTGTGCCCCCTGACAACTGATGCCCCCAGATTCAGGGATGTGCTGGCAGGGTGGGGTGAGAGCTGACATCTATCTAGGCTCTGAGCTTTGCCTCAGTCATTCAGAAGATGAGACAAAAACTGCAAACAAGTAGCACCCAGGAAAAACACAGGCAGGCTACAAAACAGCCCACAACAATGTGCTAATCTACATAGAACTCAATGCTTGTCAGCTCTTACCAGGAAGGAGAGGGAGCCCTGGCCTGGCTACTAGGGAGGCTGCAGAGAGGAGGGGCCTCAGTGAACCCTGGAAAGATGGGGAGAAGTTGATGGCGGGAGAGGGATGGGAAGCATGCAGGGAAGGGGCACAGGGACCTGTGGGTCCTTGCCTAGTCTGAGGGGGAAGGGATGTGGAAGGTGAAGAGAACAGTCACAAAGGGAGACGGTACTTCGGGCTCTTCTGGGCAGCTGGGGAGGTTGCCCTGGGTGGGAACGGCTAGATGTCTAGTCTCTCAGGAACCTCAGGTTCAGGACCATTGGAGGACATTGAACCATGTGGAAGGTGTCTCTGCTCCAGCTGGCTGCCACTGAGGCTCTGAGTCCTCGGTGTGAAGGGTTGAGAGGAAGGGGCCTCTGGAAGGGATGCTCAGGAGACAGCCTCACCATAGACACTTCTAGAAATTGATGGCTGAGGAAAGCACGGTGAGGGCGATGCTTAATCCCCAGAGCTGCCTGGTCTTTGGTATATTTCAGCCCTCAATAGGGAGTGGGCACAGTCACCACTTTGAAGGTGGCCCAGGGGGGATACACACCCTTCGACTTGGGGCCCAGTCCTGTCTCAGAGGAAATCGAGACAGACAGCCAAGGGTTAACAAGAGTTTGCATCTGGCAGGGCAGGCTCTGCCCCATTGCTTCTTCCTCCCACCACCAGCCTCTGCCTCTGCCTCTGCCTGGGGAGCAGCCCTGGAAGGAATCTCTGCTGCAGGGGCAGAGAGATGCTAGGACACGCAGCCCAGCTGTCCAGCATCCCGGGCCACCCATCCTGCTCCATACGCCCCCTCGACGAGGCCTGGGAGGGACCCGGCAGGACTGGACCTGGGGACTGCCCCAGCCGAAACACAGCCCCCTTCCTTCCTCCTCTTCCTGGGGGTCTCACCTCCAGCCCCTCGCTCTACCTTGAGGCCCAGGCAAACCCTCCTCTCGGTCCCCTCCCGACCCTGCCTCCTCTCTCAGCTGGGCCCTTGCCCCCCTGGGCAGCCCCTCTTCTTTCTCCCTATCACCTGTAACCCCTTCTCTATCCTCAATTGTTTTTCTGCTCCTCTCTCCCCAGGTGTCTCCCCTCATTTCCCTCAGGGCCCCTCAGGAGTCGCTGGTTTCAGGACCACTTAGCGCTCCTGAGCGGTGCCACCCTGCACTTTCCAGGAGAGGCAGCAACTGCCTCCGGGTTGGGGCAGGGTGTTCCCCCAGGAGGCCTGAGCAGCCCCTGTGGCCCTGCAGCGCCAAACCCTGCTTCCATCTTCCTCAACCACCAAAGCCGCCAAGCCTGGGATCTCCCCAGCGGACTGAACAGTTTTCAAGATAAAGAGTTTCCGAGCTCGCCCCAGACAGCTCTGGGGACGGCTCCCTTCCTCCAAAAGAGACGCCCAGGTCCCCAGCAGCTCCGGCCCGCGGGCTGGAACAAGTAGCGGCTTGCCCACCGCCTCCCCCTCTGCCAGCAGGTTGCTCCGCACAGGCCCTGGCATTCTGAAAGCGGCTTGACCCCTGAACTTTCCCCATGCAGCAGCGTCCACTCCCCGGCGGGGCCTGGAAGCACGTGTGTGGCCGACGAAGAAGGCGCCCGCTGAGGAAGGCACCGCACTCAGCGCGCGGCCACCGCGCCTGTCCCTTGGTCGGAAGGGAGAGGGACGGGGCGCCCAGGCTGACCGGGGTCGCCGGCTCGCGGGTGGCTCAGTGTTCCGCTCCGTGCAATGGGGTGAGCAGCCTCCCCTTTCCCGGGCGAGCGCCGCGGCCCCGGGAGCATCTGCAGGGCCGCCAGGGCCCGGGTC